AAATAAAACTAAAGTTGTACCATTCAAATAGAATTATATTAACATGGGGGAAAAAATCCTTGATTCCTAAAATATCTTAACACACTATACTGTGTAAGTTACTTTTAACACAAAAAACTGCTGAAGCAAAATATTCATAGCTGATTGTCAAAATGAATGTTTCTCAATCCAATGCTATTAACATAGGAGTTAGAAGCAGGGAGCCCCTGAGTAGTGCAAACAGATAAGCACTCAGCTATTTACTGAAAGATTGGAGGTTCAGGTACCGAAAAGTACCTCAGAAGATAATCCTGGCAATCTAACTTCTGAAAGATTACAGTCATTGAAAACCTTAGGGAGCACAGTTCTACTCTGAAACACACAGGGACACCAGGAGTCAGAATCAACTCGACAGCAACTAGATTGTCTGTTTGCATGGTGTCAGGTAGGAGAGCATCAAATTCAAGCAAGAAAGATACAGATCAAGAAACTTGAAAAAAATGTGGGAAATTCTAGGATCATTTCAAAAGACCAGCACAGAAACACACAGGTGAAAACAACTTTTAAAATGTGGTGGAGGTGGAGAAAACAGAGTACTATAGTCTTACAAAAGCAGCTTCAAGACTGTATCTCTGAAAAGCAGTGCTAGCATTTCAGAGAATGATGCGCTGTGTCTTACAACAGGAAAGGAACTTCAGGGTAAGGTTCCACTTCTTTCAAGGGCATGGGAATTATCACTGGTATGTAAACAGGGCAAGTGTATATTATGATGTCCTATATGTCAGACTGCGAAGTCTTTTGAACTGCAAGGTCGGTGGTTCAAGCTCACCAGCTGCTCCTTGGAATCCCTATACAGGGTCGCTATGGGTGGGAATCAACTTGACGGCACTTAACAACAACATCTCAATCATGATGTTGACAGTGATCTTTTTTACCAAGTCCAGATTTCCCATCAGGAGTTGGTAGAAAAGATGGAAATATCTCCCAATGACCTGGAATGAATTCTGCCTATTGTAGATGGTGGGATCATCAATACCTCATAGTTGGAGGTTTTGCCAAGTTATGGGGAACTGGGCCTAACTAACTATAGAATATACTCAGTCAAGGACTTGACAATGGCATTGTCTAGATTTTCAAAGTTGGCTAAAGGGCCCTTTATTACACGTTAAGGACAGATGTTTAACATAGGGTGATCTAACACTGAGGAAAGGACCCCTATCTTTCTGCTTATAAAGGCAGATGAAATTCTCAAGTCTAGTGGTCAAAAGGAGTGCTGGCGGCGTATTAGGGCAGGCACTGGAGTAACCCAAAGGTCTGCAGTTCAAACCCACCAGCGACCCCATGAGAGAAAGAGAAGGCTTTCTGCTCCCATAGAGATTTAGTCTCAGAAATCCTATACAGTGTTGCAGTCAGGACTGTCTGAACGGCACTTAATGAGAGGAGGAGTTGGAATAGACTCGAAGCACTGAGTTGGGAATTTGGTTTGAGTGGTCAAACGGATGTAAGTGAGCTAATCTTTTGCATTTGTGTTACGCCTTTCTGCTGCAACTGATTAATTCAAGTTTGTACCTGCAGTGAGACAGAGGAATATGGCCATGTAACCCACAGATGTTCCCTTGGTCTATATACTTACATACCTTTTGTATAGTGTTATTAGGAGTGTGTTGAAGGAGCCCCGGTGGTACAATGGTTAGGCTGTGGTTAGTGACCAAAAAGTTGTTGATTTAAACCTGCCAGCCACACCACAGTACATAGACCTGAAGAGCTGCTTCTGTAAAAATTACAAGCTAGGAAACCCTGGGGACACTTTCATCTGTCACATGGAGTTGATATGAGTCAGAATCAACTCAATGGCAACCAACACCAAAACCAGGGCTGTGTTGACATGATCGGAAGGTCAACAGAAACTTAGCAACAAACTGAAAGAAGACAACTGGCTTTCTCCCAAGAGTAACGTCTACCACAACTGGCAACAATCATCAATGAGCACCAGCAACATCTGTGCAATGCAATCATCTTGCTTCCATGGGGATAAGACGGGTCTCGTTTTTCTTTAAGACTACAAGTTGAGGACAAGGGAACACACAAAAATGCTATGGGTGTGTATCAACTTCTAGACGAGACTTTAGTTACATGACTGTTGCTAGGGCATACATGACCAGCACTTCATACATGTCAGATGTACCAAAGTCAAGAACACCAAAGTACAGTCTAGAGTTAAAAAAAAAAAAAAAAAGTAATCCAGGGTTAGAGGCACAGGATTGGGTGGCTTAGAGTCTGTCATAGCAAGCTGGCAGACACCAAGAACATGCCCCAGTAGTTTTGAAAGCTGGACATAAGAATCACGACACGAGTGAGTTAGTGAGTGTCGGGCAGCTGAGTGACAGCTGACCAGGTCTGCGATCCTGTGTGTGGCAGTACCGCCCTTCACACCTTGTGGAAGCCCATCCTCTAACAGTACTGATGCTCTGGCTTCTGCCCTCAAAAAGACCAAGTGTGAGGAAGGAGACCCAGTAAGTAGTACACACTATTCAACGTCATCACTTCATTTAAACATGCGAAGAAAAGTCCATCACTACATTATGCTGCACTGATTCTGATGTCCCCCTAAAACTCATTAAAAGAGGATAGTTTAGATATGAAATTGTTAGGTTTTAGCACGTGTTGCTATCACATGGTACTATGCAGGTGTAGTGACTACTTGTAACGGGAATGTAAGAATTTCATTAATACATTTACATAGTACCCCAAAAACAAAAAGCTGAGTCAGCATATTTTTAAAGTCACATCTATGGAAAAGCATTAATTCCAAAAAAACTATAACTAACACACACACAAGACTGTAAGAATACAAGAGAAGACTTTTAAATAATGCAGGAGTGAGGGGAAGCTTTAGTCTGAGCATTGGCTTTGCTACTAACAAGCTGTAAAGTCCTAGATACAACATTAAGAATTCTCTGGATTGCAATTTTATCTTTGGTAAGATGAGAAGGTTGAATTTCATGATTTCCGAGCATAACTGTAAAGTCCTGGTGTGGCATTGTAGGATATTCACTGTTAACTGCAAGGTTGGCAGTACAAACCCACCAGCCACTTCTCAGAAACTCTATATGGGTCTCCATGAGCCAAAGCAAACTCAATGGTACTTCACAACAACAACAACAAGGAAAACTGCAGGAGCCCTGGCAGCACAGTAATTAACACATTAATTTGCTAACCTGAAGGTCAGTGATTCACACCCATCAGTTGCTCTGCAGGAGAAAAGATAGGGCAGCATGCTTTCACAAAGCTTTGGTTGGTGGTTATGTGCCATGGAGTCGGTTGCAACTCATAGCGACCCTATACATTGTTTCCGAGGCGGTAAATCTTTACAGGGGCAGAAAGCCTCATCTTTCTCCCATGGAACAGCTGGTAGTTTCGAACTGCTGACCTTGCGGCTCGCAGCACAATTCGTAACCACTACGCTACCAGAGCTCCTTCATAAAGCTTTAGAGTCTTGGAAATCCTATGGGGAAGTTCTACTCTGTCCTATAGAGTAGCTCTGAGTTAGAATGGATGCACTAGCAATGACTTTTTCAAGCAAAAATTCAGTTCTACAAATTTTATGCCTTAGTGTTCTAGCTCAATTTCAATGGACTTTAGATAAGTTCAATGATGCATAAATGTTAAATTCAAAACATACTATAGTTACAGGTATAATTTTTTATATTTGAAGAAACCCTAACATTGCTTAATATAAAATAATAAAAGGTAGGCATTTTCAGAAAAAGCGGTTCTAATATTTTTACCAACTACAGGTGAATAATTTAAAAACACTGTTGATGTCACAGAAGTATAAGGTAATATAAAATCTAACTCTAAAAATAATATAGCTCTTCAGGATACTTTTAGCAGATGTTGTTGTTTTTAAGTGCTGCAAAGTTGGTTCCGACCCATAGCAACCCTGTATAGGATTTCCAAGGAGCGGCTGATAGGTTTGAACTGCTGACCTTGCAGTTAGCAGTCCAGTGCTGATCCTATAGCAAGCTAGACCAATCCAATAATAGTGTTTTAGAGACAGCAGTCATATTTCTTACTACTTGGACTTTAATTTCTAAAAGTGAAAGCTCAGATCCCTAAAATGTTTTAGAAGATTAAGTTATAGAGGATGTGGAGTGGGGAGGGATAACATCATTTATACTGTTTCAGCTCCCACATTCCTGTGTTGTTTTTAAAGACTTTAGTTCTTTATCTACCCATTTGTGAACATTAAACATTGAAATTGAAAAAATTAGGGGTAACTACGACGTACCCACAACTATTCTATACTCAGTATTTTGAATTTCCAGTTCTCTCTTCTCTTACCAACACACACACAGTTACACTATTTGCTAACAGTTCAAATCTGTTTAGCAATGAAGTAGATTAAGAGTGAAGCAAGAATGCTCATGCTTATGAATTCTCCATATGAAATCTTAAACAACAACAAAATAAATCATTACTAACAAATCCTTCTTGCTTGATTATTTACCTTTAGAATTTAAAAGAGAGAGAGAGAACTTTTTGTTACAGGACACTAAGAAATCTTTTCCTCACTCACTAAAGAGTCTAAAATCAGAATCACAAACAAATCCAATTAAATTCAAGTACTATGCCAGGTTTAAATATTCTTTGGTTCTCAAAAATGACTAAAACCACTAGGAAACATGTGCTTTTTTTACACAAGAGGGAAAATCCTATACCTCTCCTTTCTTTTGGGTAACGTATTTGTCATTTACTTTTTAAAATTCAATATATATTATTTACCAAAAGATGACAGTATTATTCAATATTAAGCCTGTTTGATTTAATAATTTAGAAGGCACTTAGAAATAGATTTAGTAGGAGAATAAAAGATCTAGCTGTTTAACCAACAAGAAGCAATTCAATTTATTCTGAATAACTTTCATTACTTCCAATAATATATACGAAAATGCTTTCACAACAAATCCCTTCCCTGATACAGTTAAATGCAAATGATCTTTCCCATCTTACTCCAGAAAGCTCCTGCATACATAGCTGACACGCCACCTACTGCAAAATCCAGCTGACAGCGCAGGCGATGCAGCCGGCGTTTCCATTCCCTCACCAGGCTGGGGCTGAACAAAAGCGTGCTGTGTGGTAGTGTTTCTCTTTAAACAATCTCAAAGCCAAGAGGAACAAGCTGCAACAACATCTTCAAAAAATGGAGCGTAAGATAAACAGAAGAGAAAAAGAAAAGGAGTCTGAGGGGAAACACAACAATACGGAAGACGCTGACCTCGGAAAGCACTGCAAATCCACACTGATAACCCTCAACGTTGGTGGGTACTTATACATTACTCAGAAACAAACACTTGCCAAGTACCCAGATACTTTCCTTGAAGGTATAGTAAATGGAAAAATCCTCTGTCCGTTTGATGCTGATGGTCATCATTTCATAGACAGGGATGGGCTCCTCTTCAGGCATGTCCTAAACTTCCTACGAAATGGAGAACTTCTACTGCCTGAAGGGTTTCGAGAAAATCAACTTCTCGCACAAGAAGCAGAATTCTTTCAGCTCAAAGGACTGGCAGAAGAAGTGAAATCCAGGTGGGAAAAGGAACAGCTAACACCCAGAGAGACGACTTTCTTGGAAATAACAGATAACCACGACCGCTCACAAGGACTGAGAATTTTCTGTAATGCTCCTGATTTCATATCAAAAATAAAATCTCGCATTGTGCTGGTGTCCAAGAGCAGGCTGGATGGGTTTCCAGAGGAGTTTTCAATATCATCTAATATCATTCAGTTTAAATACTTCATAAAGTCAGAAAATGGCACTCGACTTGTACTAAAGGAAGATAACACCTTCGTCTGCACCTTGGAAACTCTTAAGTTCGAAGCTATCATGATGGCTTTAAAGTGTGGTTTTAGACTGCTGACCAGCCTGGATTGTTCCAAAGGGTCAATTGTTCACAGCGATGCACTTCATTTTATCAAGTAATTACCTGTATCTAGAACAAAGCAACAAGCATGCAGCCAGCAAGCTTCGGGCCAACAACATCATCAAAGTCATCACACACAATGTGTCCAGCTAGCTCCGTACTACAGAGTCCTGCTGCTAATCAATTACTGTGAGCTAACGGTATGTAAATTCTATCGCTAATCATGTCCTTCTATGGGTATTCCTGCTGATGAGACTCTTACGCCTAAAATGAAAACAGTGATCTTCTACACAATGTAAATAAAGACTGAATGCTTTTGCTATTTGTTTATCTCTCCTTAAGCTGTCTTTCAATCAGAATGTCAATCACAATGATCAAGCATGTACATTATCTATGGTTCATTTAAGTAAATGGTAATAAAATATTGTAAGGGGCTCTAAGATTTAAAATCCTTTTTACTTCTGGCAAATATCACAAAGAAACTGTACTGGTAAGATTAATAACCATCGAGAGTATAAATACATGTGCAGATCTATTAAAACAGAGCTACAGATACACAAAATGAGACTAAGAAGGTATTAAAGCTACTGGTTTAATTTTTAATGGCAGGTACCAAAGGTTTATTTCCTGTGTTTCATACTAGAATTGTAGCTGAACTGGTATTTTGCTGAAAATTCCTAGAAAACTGTTTGATGACAATAAAAAGGGGTGGGGAGCACTGCTAGCTTCTCTGCATATATTAATCATGTTAACAAAAGTTCAATGTGTCATCTTAAAACAAACAGTAGCACTTGATGGCTTCACAGAGTATCCTATGCAGTGATGGAGGCAGTCGCAGGCTATAATAATGCTGGCTGGTCCGGGATGTGAAAACACAAAACCACCCAGCAAATTCCTTTCTTTGCAGATTGAGCTCCAACACAACTAACATAGTTTCAATGGAATAGTGTGATGTTAGAATAACAAAGAAGTTGATTTTCAGAATCACCCTAAATATCTGTTCATTTTTATAAGGTAAAAAAATATGAAATGGATATCATTAAACATCATTCTTATGAAAGAAACTGTTGATTCATTTTAATACCTAATTTGATACTAAATCTCAGACACCGGCTGCTGTTGTAAGTTTTCTTCATGTTAAATAAAAAGGTATTTTTAAATTAAGTTTTATATGTTAAAGTTCAGTGATAATTATCCAGTTTTAACCTAGCTTTTAATGTGATGGTACTTTTTTCTTACCCTAAGAGCAGCTGCAACATTTCTATGCCACTTTAGTGTCCAAGAACAAATTGTATCTTAAACGTGCTTCTTTAAAATGAAACCCTTGAAATTGGTACCTAGACTTTAACTTTAATAAACTTCAAGAGATTTCTGAAAATCTCGATTGGGGTTACATAGTTTAATTAGCATATATATCAAAGTGTTATTATATGTAAAAGCTTAGAATAAATTAGTAAAGCTAGCATTCATCCTCAAAACAGTTACAACATCTGAGGTGACATAAAAGTTGGCTGTACAGTCTGAAAGAAACCTTTAAAAATTATTGGTACAGTGTATCTTTAAAAATCCACACTAAAAACCTACCTTAAAAAAAATTACACACTAATTCCACAATCATCGTCTATGTATACCAACAAAAAATGGTTCTCCTAAAACATCTGATTATTTCTCATGTATTTCTAAATGACTTAGTTAGGGTTTAAAGGAATATGGATACAGAAAACCCAGTAAAATGCATTTTAGCAGTCATAGCAATTATACTATGTACACGTATCCCTCTCCAGGTTATGAGTTGGCTATTCCTTGGCATGTGGACTTGGATAATGAAAAACTGGTAGAAATTTCTTGTCAAAGCAAGATTTTCTCTAACCAGATTTTATTCCAGCTAGTTAAAAATACCTCTGACATCTGTTTCTACAGGAGCTATAACTGAATAAATCCCTTTAGACGTACTACAAATAAGGTTTTGGCATCAAGTCACAAAAAGACTGCCATTATAAAATTATTATTACTGGAAACTACTACTTTTAATGTAATGGTTTTCATTTATATATCTTTAAAAAAAATATTTGGATACATTTAATTTCTTCTCAAGCCTTTGATTAAAACACATTATCTAAGATAACTGATCTAGAAGAAAATCTGACTAGCTGTGTCACTTTTATAAATGATCCTTTCCTAATGCAAAATTACTTGCTCCTGAGCTTGCATACTCATGTGTCTATCTACTATGTAATAAATCTAGAGAAAAATACGTTGCTTTTAAAATCTATTTTCTAAAAATACTTAGAATTCACTTCCATTCAGAAAACTCAAGAAATCCCAGGAAATACCAATGACAAGTCAGAGTGAAGCTGTCGTGTAATTTTTCTGTTTGTAGTCACTGAAGAATTCTTCCTCAAATCTTTTCCTAATAATAAATACTGCTTCAAAGAATAAATCACAAAATAACTTTTTAACTTATTTGTTCAGAAGAAAGGTGGTTTTTTGTTTGTTTTTTAAAGGCTGTAGAGTTGCATATATACACTTGTATTTGGAATTATCCCACACTGTGATTATAGTACCGTCTTAAAAATATGAAAACTAAAAATAGGCATATGGTTTTGCTACATTCAATTTTTTTCACATGGCGGTAGCAGAATAACATGAAAGGAAACTTTAATGAAACTTCTTAAGTAATGCCCAGGCAAGTACTGACCCAGGCTGAAATGATGACACTAAATAATCTGTCAGCTTGATTTGTTTTTGAAGAAAATTACTTATTCTCAGGTGCTATTTTCAGATAACAAAAGGTAACATTTATGAAGTGTTTTCCTATAAGCCAGATGCTGTGATATAGCAGATACTAGGAATATGCATTATCTCAATTAATCCTCACATTCCCCTTAAGAGAGGTACTATTAGTGTTTCCCTTTTATAGATAAAGAAACAAAGACTTAAACATTTCCAAGATCACCCAGCTAGTAAGAGGTGGAACTAAGATTGGAACCTCTGGCATGCCACTTCTGGAATGAGCAGGGACCATCACATCTGGTTTTGCAGACTTCTTATATCTCAAGCACAAAACATGCAGTCATGAAGTAGATTTGAATACATAATCCCCAAAAATAGGTTTGCTTCACTTAATATAATCTCATGATGAAAGCATTCTTGAAACACTACTTGGAAACTGAATTGTGGAAATACATGTATTATTTTTAAATGTTGTGTCGTGTCATTTAAAGAACATGAGTTGAATCATCTCATAAAAGTAAAGAATATCTTAAAGCTGACTATAGGTAAATTTAGATTTTTCACTTATCAGGTTTGCTGAAAGGACTTAACTTTTTATGACTCATACAATCCACAACTGACATGAGAAAAATTACGGCATAATTAGACAAGCTCTGTAATCAGACTTGGGTTCCATAACTTTCAGTTCTTGGTTACAGGACCTTAAATTTAGCAAGATCCTTACCTTCTCTGACCTTAAAAAATCCTTTTAGAAGAATGGAGTTGACGACTTGACAATGCTTATGTAGGGTTTAAATGAAATCTCAAATCGTATGTTAAGTACCTTACCCATCTCAGACTTGGAGTAAGCACTGGCTATTAGCACCCTACCACTTCTCTAGCATATAAGTTTCTTCATCCAGCCATGCAACAGCAGGCAGAGAAGTACAGAGCGTACGACAGACTTTCTACATAGACAAGAACAGAACTGAGGACTCTAAGCAAACACATGCTTAACACTGTGAAGAAATACTGTAAAAGATGCAATATGTATTTTTTAATTGTTTTCATTTGTATTACTTTAAAAATGCATATGCTGAGTTTCTTGGGACCTTTATAATCTCTTAATATAAAAAAATCAACGGCAGCAAAATCATCACAGCAGCTGTTTTACCAGCAATTAAAAATCAGTCAGGAGTAATGTATCTGGTAATGAAATCCTAAACATAATCCTAATGTATTATATGATTAAATACCTAAACTCCAATGACGTCAGTCAAGGTTAAAATTACAGCATCTGAATCATAATTATCCTTGCTAATAAAGCAGCAGTGTAATATGAACCATCCAAAACAGCATGTAACTTAGAAACTTTTTGTATTATAACTCTGAAATTTAATGGCTTCTTCTGTAGCAGACATATCTTGCTAATCCTATTTTGCTTATGCTAATATTAAAAATTATTATCAGACTGGTGATAAAGGAAAGTCCACTGGGGAAAAAATTTATAAAAAATGTTAATTGCCTAAAATAATTTATACAGAGGTGATTACATTCCTAGTTCCCCTCTTAACAAAAATGTACAATGGTTCAAGAATTTCTATCAAATAACAATCTCAGGTATAAATATTTTAAGCTGTTATATGTTTAATTAAAATTTTCAAGAAAGCATGTTAAATATTTTATATGTAAAATATGGAAACTAATTTTATTTCAATACTAGTTAGTTTAGGAAAACACTCCTAAATTGGATATTAAAAAACGAGACAAATTACAACAGATCTGTTTATTACATGTCCCTAGCAAAAATATAATAGTCAACCGAACAGCATGATGGGTTTTCTTAAACTCAGGATTCCAGAGTTTTCAGTTATTTAAAAGTAACTTCTAATAGTAATTTTTTAAAAAATGAGATCGCTTAATTTTTGAAAATATTTCAGAACCACTGAGGGGGAGTTAAGGAATAAGAGAGGAAAAGCTAAGAGAAGGCAGGATTAACATTCAGAAGTTATTTTGATCACTGTCTTCAAGCTTAGAACTGATTTCCCTATATCATTACCATTTTAAATTGACCAAGCCCAATGATTATTCCTTAATTTCACCCCACTAATTCTACTTCATTGTAGCAAATATTTACTAGCTAATTTTAAGTTTCTGAAGAAATGCTGAATGATACTTTCATCTCAGTAGTTGCCTGAATCTGATAACCTTTTATGACTTCATTTAGAAAGATCTAGACCATTTAGAATTTTTAGTACTTTATCCTATCATTTGATGAATTGTCATTTATAATTTTGAAAGAACACATTAAAAACAATACCCATATTCTTACCACCCTAACAAAACAGTTTTGATTTTTGTCTATTTTTTCCTAGATACTATACATGTATATAAAGAAGCTTTCTGCCCTAAAGTTGTACAGCCTCAGAAACCCTATACAGGGTTGCTCTGAGTCAGAATTGACCTGATGGCAGGGATTTGGCTGGTTTGTGTTGATCCATGTATATGGGTATCCACACATATGTGTATATGGCAATTCCTGGGTGGTGCAAAAGGTTAAACAAGCATTCAGCTACTAGCTTAGTTGGCTGTTTGGACCCAGAAGTACCTTGGAAGACAGGTCTAGTGATCTGCTTCCAAAAGGTCAGAGTCTGGAAAACCCATGAGCAGTTTTACTTCATACACTGAAAAAACGGTAACTAACAAGAAGGTTCCTGTACAGATTTTTAAGCAATGCCTATAATAAGAGCCAGAAGAAGAGAAAGGGAAGACTTTCCTTAGTAGTTTAAGGAAATATTAATACGGTAAAAGATCTGAAAGTTATAGGAGACTTACTTTTAAAACAGTAACAATTTTAAATGTAACCATAAGCCTATACGATATGTGTATATTTAATTGTTATATCCCAGTCAAAAAATAGCATGAGAGTCAATATTTTTAAAAAATCTAGATTATCTGGATATACAGCAGATTGTACTTAAGGAGAGACAAGAAAAAGGAGGTTTCACTGTTACCTCTTCTCTTACTATTAAGTAACATGGCACTATGATATACATTCAGATCTGCTGTGCATAAGGTCGTTATGGGTCAATACCGACTTGATGGCACTTAGCAACAACAAGTGATATACATTACACAATTCCCTACTTGCTATGTAGATAGAAAAACAAAGTTGTGCCTATATAAGATATATGCAAAATTGACAGCTAACACTGAGAAGCAGACGGCTATGTTTGAAATAAAATAATTCCTAATCTTCATTCTGTGCCACC